AAAGAAAGAAAGAAAGAAAGAAAGAAAGAAAGAAAGAAAGAAAGAAAGAAAGAAAGAAAGAAAGAAAGAAAGAAAGAAACACTCAAGTAAGCTTCAGATACCTGAAAATTCTACTTAAGTACAGTGACAAAGTATGTGTACTTCGTTACTTCCCACCTCTGCAATCACCACCAAAACACGCAGCACAAATCCCGTCAGTGATTCATTTTCTTGTAAACTTTTGGAGGATTGGCGCAGTTACGATTTTCTGTCACGTTCACCTGTTTCTTAAAATTTTAGCAGTTTCAAGCTTAATAACAATAGTAGTTATTTAATACTTTAATGCCATCCAAAATTAATTATAATTATGTTGTAATAACACACTTCTTGGAGGTTTTCTGTGCTTCCACTAAAATCCTACGAACAGTCATTAACCTGCATTCCTACAACAATTTGCTGTTTCACTTAATGCCTAAATAAACAGATAAAAATCGGCGCTTTGATTATTATAATCTGTTTCCTTATCCTTAGGTTAATGTAGTGACACGTCTGATTTCATATGTGTCCACCAGAGAGCAGCGTAATTCTTTTCAATAGTCCCAAATTTGATGAAGCCTCATAAAAACGTTTATTTGCTAAATTATTGTCATAAATTATCATCATTTATAAAAATTGAAAAAAACAACACAATGTCAAAGTAATATAAAAAAGTTTTGCAGATGTTTATATAAATATTTATAATATAGTTATAACCGGAGTTCATTTAAAATATTGCTAAATTAGTCCAACGTTTTTCATCGTGTTGTTCCTTTTTGCTAGTGAGGGTAATTCTTCTATATTGGATTATTTTCAATTATCAGTGTGTTTAACTGGACGTTGAGCAAAGGGTTCATTTGTTTATATCTTCCGTGTGGGCGGAAGAACAACGGGCAAAATTTCGCATCCAATAACAGCTGCGCAACAAACATACAACCAGATATTAATTTGGATCTTGCTTGCTTTTCTTCTGCTGTGACAAGTCGGTTTTTGTTTTATTTTGTATTGTAATTTAGGTTAATGTGACGTAATCATTGGTAAACAGGGGCTGGAGATCAAAGCGGGCCTGTAGGACTAACTTGGAAAGCTGCAATGCGCTCCGTGGTGCCAGTCAAGGGTGGAGCTGTATTACTGTAATAGTTGAATTACGTCATACTGCGTCATATTATAGTGTCCAGAAAAAAGACTGAGCAAAATCATAGCTCGATTTTCCGGAACAGTCGACGCAGTTTCGCTCCCTGCCGCTGGTAGCAGCGCAGTCACTTTCAAACATTTACAGGAGTAAAGTCGAGCTTCTTCAGAGTTTCGAGTTTTCTCTCTGGTAGGTAACAGCACTTTTCTAATATGAGGAGGATTTAAAAAAAAAGTCCAGACGATTCCAAAAATATCAACAAAGCTAATGAAAAGAGAATTCAGTTCAGAATTTTTCATGCAGCTTTACGCTGTTACTTAATTTCACAGGAAGATGGAATTACAGTACAATCTGTCTGATATTTGTTTCATGATTTCTCAGTCTCGGTTTCAGAAATACTCTCCAATGCCACTTTATCGAGTGCATGCTGCTAATAGGAGCCCCTTTGCATCAGAGCTGGTTTAATTCTGCCTGGCACAGATATGCTTGCGATTATCAGCCTGTTGCTTCTACTCATTCAGACGTTGTATTCAGACTGCCTTGTCCCAGAGAAATGTCACCCTGATTTTAATTAGTTATGATGTGTAAGCACGTTTGCAATTCCTTCTGCAACTCAGCACGTCAGCCTCAATAATTCAATTCAATCATAGCACTGAATTGATGCTTTTGACCTTTATTATACAGAGTGCCAACTCTTAATGAGCACAACTGGAATGTGTATAAAAAAAACACATAAAAACAACTTATTTAATCATTTTATTCCTAACACCTTTGTTAAAGCTCAAAGCAGTCTGGCCATTCTTCTCTGACCTTTATAATAAACAAGGTATTTTTCTCTCATAGACCTCACTGAATTTGTCATTATGGACATTTTTCTGTAAACCTTAGAAATCATTGTCTAAGTAGATCATCAGTTTCTGTAATATTCAGACCAGCCCATTTCTTACCGAAGACCACTTAAATCACCTTTCTTCACTTTAACCTCAGCAGGTCATCTTTCCAATATCTGCATGTTTAAATACTTTAAAGTGCTTTCATTAGATATTTCACTAACAAGCAGTTTAATGGTTAATAAAGTGACTGTGAGTGTTTTTCTTTAGTACTGTTATTCAGTTAATCATCATCTTTATCTAATATTTAAATGTATAGCACATGGACAGCAAATGTAAACATAACTGCATCACTTTATGTAGTAATTTATTTATATACAAGTTATTTTATTTAATTATAATTAACAGCCATTCAGTATAAGTTACCGTTAATGGAGCTCACCTTCATTATAAGGTGATTTTATAAGAATTAATATAAGACAATAGTGTGACAGGGTGTGGTTGGTAGCTCTGCTGCAGAGGAGGAGTGAAGCAGTGGGTTCAGGGTGTGGTGTCAGGGAAGGCTGGTGTTTACAGTCGACGAGCATCATCTAATCATGCCTTCCCTACTTCAGTAGTGGCCGGGCCGGAGAGGAGAAGAGCTGCTGGAGCAGAGCACTGGTGCAGATCTGGAGCCGAAGAAGTGTGCGCTGGAAAGTGCAAAAAGTGATATTGTAGCAAATAAACAAAGGCAAAACGCACGTTTCTGCATCATGTCGGGTCCTTTGGGTTACAGTGGTGCTGAAACCCAAGCTCCCCAGATGACCCCCCAAGCAATTCTGGAGGTGTTCCAGGCAACCACGGTTGCATACTAGTGGAAGCCCAAGTGGCGGCGCTGAGCCTTCTCACAACAGTGTACGTGTCCTTTCTGACGTTAGGAGAGCCATCGTGGACTGATTGGGGCCCTCCCCTGAGGACCATCAGCGCCCCTTCCAGATGGGATGGGAGGACTGGCCCTTGGCATTCAGGAGGCTGCATGGCGCTGCAGCACTGTTTTGAGAGTGTTTTGCAGTTATGTTCTGCCATACAAATCTCATGAAGCATCACTTTGAAACGCAGGCTGGTGTGATGGTGTGTTCGCACCACTACATGTTACCTGAGCACGAAAGACAAATTGTGCAAAACGAACTGGCAGAAATGTTAAAGCTGGGAATAGTAGAAGAGTCGCACAGTGCTTGGTGTAGCCCCATAGTTAGGTCTATATGGTTCTGTGTGAAGTATTGCAAGATGAACGAAGTGCCACCATTTGATGCCTACCCAATGACCCAGGTCGACGAGCTCCTGTGTACATCATTGACTGCCCCATTGTGTACATCAGCTGAAAATTGTCGGAGCATGAGGCCAGGTACGGTACATTAGAAAAGGAGTGCCTGGCCATCTGGTGAGCGGTCAACTCCCTATTTCAGTAGCGGCAGGGCTGGAGAGCTGCTGGAGCAGAGCACCGGTGCAGCTCCGGAGCTGGAGCAAAATTCGCTGGAACGTGCAAAGAGTGCTATTGTACAAAGAAAAAAACGACAAAGCACAAGCTTCTGCGTTGTGTCAAATCCTTTGGGTTACAAATCGGTATTGAGGGAATTAGATTTTTTATTTTGTTATTTGCACAAGTTAAATAAATGTTTTGTCTTAACACTTCAATGAGTTCAGCCATTTCTCCACAGCTGGGGCCTTAATGTGATTCAGACTATGTTCATTTTTTTCTACTCTTCTCTCTTTCAGTCTCCAGGATCTCAATTCAGGATGTCTGTCACTGTGTCCAAGGTTGATGGAGTCACTATACTCACCTTGACCTCTGACCCTAATAGCCCTTGGCCTCCTCTGTGCCAGATCCTCAAGAACCTTTGCAGCAGTCCAGTGTGCTGCAAAGTGTCTCAGCACCTGAGGCGCCTCAAAAGACCTTCTGAGATAGTGCTGGGGGTGAGCTACAACCTTTAAAGCTTCAGATAAGCCTCCAGATGTTGTATTAAAAATGCAAATGAACTGCTAACTTAGTCTGATACACGTTTAGTTAATATTCTTTTAATGAGCTTCTTCTTTGCACCCACCACATACTCCTTTTAAGGCTTACAGACAAACTCACTCATCCACTTGTACATTTAAACATTCAGGAGATAAAACGCTGTCAGAAAGCCTTCCAAGAAGACAGAGTAAAGGTAAATTTTATGTGTATGGGATGCCACCGGCTTTGTATCTGTGTCATGTTTCCTTACCCCACGTGAGTCTAACTCTCTCACTGACAAATTCATTGGACTTAAAAGTGAGAAGCTTTTATCCACTGTGGTTTAAAAGAGGGCAGCACTTCACTTCCACCATCAGGCTGGGGTCTTTCCGTGTCGAGTCTCTCCAGGGTGTACTCTGCCTCTCGTCCTAAGACAGCTGGGATAGGCTCCAGGCCCCCTGCGACCTTGTAAAAGGATAAGCAGAAGAGAATGGATGGATGGTTTTAGAGTTTTCCCATCACACTACAGAAAAAGCCTGAGAGAAAGTGCTCCAGTATACAGCATATCCTATGACTGGTGTTGAACACCACATCATCACATGTTGTTCATTCTGTGCTTCTTCTTTCTCAGACTCTGCAGATTATGATTGGGCTTCTCAATGTTGTCCTCGGATCAATCCTTATAAGCCAACACGATGGATCATGGACCATGAGTTATACCGGCTATCCTTGTTGGATGGGAGGGTTGGTAAGCAAGCTAAGCAGCTTTTTCCTCATGTTTTTTGAACTAAGATTGGATCCACATAAATAAATACTACTCAAAGGAGCTGCTGGAGAAACTTTTTGCAGCGTATTAGGTTAACTGGTAACAGGGCAGAAATATCTTCTCTGGGCCAAAGCTAATTTAAAAAGCAAAGTGTATAACTGTTCTGTGGTCAGACGAATCAAAATGTGGAAATAATATACAAAAACATTTAATTTCTTCGAAGGAAGTACAGGAGAAATATCTGTCTTTTGAAAAGATTTCATTTGCTTCGGCAGCGCTGGACCTCTCTGTGAAAGCAGCCATGTGGCTCGACAAAAAGCATGACCCTGAATCGGGCAATACAGTTTTATATCCCAACAATAACACATTACTATTATGACTTTCTTCTTCTGGAACTGACGTGGCAGTCCTGTTGTCACCCCTTGAATCTCTCACGTCTGTTCACATCCTTCATTATCTGCTCCTTTCCTGGAATGACACAGACAAAAAAAAAACCCCTCCCTGCCTTGCTTTGATATTATCCTGATACCGATTTATTATCTAAGTTTGGGACATTCTGTTCGGACTCACTTGGCCCAGAAAATATCATCCTGACTGTTATTTGGTGTGATGAAAGACCCTCTGCGCTTTATGCCAATTCTCAATATTTCAGTCCAGACATGGCACTGACAGAGGCTCCCGACCCTCAAAAACACAGAGCGCCAACAAGTTTATGAGTACATGTGATATGTATATAAAAATATCAAAAAACAGCTTCATTTAATCATTTTAGTTGTTCATTTGTGTCTTGTCAAGATTGTCCTTTTTCAGTATAGGTTTAATTACAGCAGTTTTTAGTGGTTCTGGAAACTCGCCTGATAAGAAAAGTTGACGATCTGTAACAGGTCTGACTCTAAAGTCTTTGAGACCCTTTTGAAAAATCTTGTTGGCAGGACATCTAAACAGCAAGAGGAGGAGTTCAGCTGACCTAAGATGTCCTCCAGGTCATTGCTGTTAATAGGGTGAAACTGTTTCATGGTGTTTAAACTGTTTTTCCATGGACAAGGTACATATCCTGAATCTGCTGTTGATGTTCCAATTGCTTGTCTAATCTTTTGGATTTTGTCTGTGAAGAATTTGGCAAAGTCTTTGCAGGCCATGGTCGAATGAAGTTCAGCTGAAGTGAAGGCCAGTTGGTTTCAGAGATTTCAGCTCGCCGTGCCCTGCTTGTGATACGTCCTCCCCCTTCCAGGAAACATGATTTATGTCATGTTTATGTCACAGTTTTATTTCTTGGTCACATTATCTGTGCTCCTTAGCTGTGTACTAGCTTGCTCATCGCCATTGTTTTGAATCAATGGCGAGGTTGTTTCATTTCTACACAGTGCATTTACCTCCACGTTTACTTCTAAGCAATGAATTTTTGTCTCCAGTACTGCAATCTTCTGCAGGAGGCTGTGGAGAAGGGAGGCATCTTGTTGCCAGTTAGCCTAGCGGTTAGCACCTTTCACTTCACTGGATAACCGGTGTTCCCAGGTGTGCTGTCAGATCTAGGCAAACTCAAAAAGTCAGGTAGAAGCTCCAGGTGTTGTAGTTTGTACCCCAGTTCTTTGTGATGACGTTTGTAATTTTTGGGCTTCAACTTGTAATTTGTGGTCTGGATCTTGGATTCTTACTTGTCTTTCTTTTCCTCTTAGCATCCAATAGCACATTAGTGATGGGATTTCTGGCTCTTTTTAGCGAACCGGCTCTTTCGGCTCCCAGCCGGCTCTTCAGGTTGTTTTGTTGCTTTAATTAATTTAATTATTATTAACAACAATATAAAATTATGCACAAAGGAATTACTAATGTAAAAATGGTTTTATTTATATATATTTATATCTAAATATATACGGTGGTCCCTAGAGACAAAGCACGTACAAACTCCAAAACACATTTCTAGCGTTAACTGAACTTCCAAAACAGCTACCTAGATCACTTAAATTACACAATTGAAAACATATGTGTATTGTGTCCAGATCACACGCTGCACTGCCGTGCTGCGCCGTCTTTTTCGCTGACATTTGTGTTTGCGCGTGCGCAGTGTGAGAAACTGCGGTGACACCCTCACAATGGTCGCGAGGACAAGCGATTGATGATCGGGAGCTGGTCGTGAGGTGTTAATCGCTTCTCGTTACCCCACGTATACTACACGATGCACGACGCACGATGAAGGCCAAAATTGGGTCGATCGCCAAAACGGTCGCACGACTCAAAAATCGGCTTAAAATGGGCCAAAAATCGCACAGTGTGAGCCCGGCATAAGAGCCGTTTCGTTCACGATTGACACACCACTTTAGCACATATCTAAGGTTGTCATCACGTGCTCTCGCTTCTTGTCCATTTCCTTCCTCCTGATTTTCTCCCTTTTTTCGTCCATTCTGCTTGCTCATATTCTTCATTAGCTTGCTTCTCTATTTGGAATATGGTTGCACTCCTGGCTGTTGCCCCCACCCAAGACAAGATGCTATATCTAGGAATAAGGACTCACTTACTTGCAGGTCTAATTATTATTTATTTCCTTTACTTTGCTCTTATGTTTTTTCTCTGTTATTCTTTGAAATTTCTTTATCAATTGCTAAGAATTAGACCTCTATTAGAAAATGATGACAATGCAATGTTTTTCTCTTTTCACAAAACTGCAAACTTCAACTGTAAAGAAAGTAATACTGAAATAAAACTGCAAATGTAATTATTCTCATTTAACGCAAGGAAAATCAGAGCAGTGCAACCCAGCTGGTAAAAAAATTCCAAAAACAAACACACTGTACTAAACTAATAAAAGATGAAATCAACAATGTCAAAATGTAAGAATTAACTAAAAAAGAATCTGTATCAATACTTGATTAGAAATTAATCAAACAAAAATAAAAGTCAATTTAGCAATCGACTTAAGAGTAATTATCTTCAGAATCAAAACAAACAAAAATGAAAATTAATTTAGAAATTGACTCACGCAATTAACTGTATATATGAATCCAAGAAAATCATATCTGACAAACATCCATTATAGGATCAAATGCAAAAACAAAACAAATGGCCCCAAGACTATTTACTTGTCATCAACTGATGACAGAAATGAATCCCAAGATCAAATCCAAGGATCAGAAACAAACAGCAGTTACTCTAAGAGTGTTAACTGATAACTCAATTAAATGATGAAGATACAAAGTCCAGATACAAAAACAAATAGCAGTTAACTCTACAGCAGTTTACTGATAACAACTAATGACAGATCATTTGTTTCACACTGTAAACTGTAAAGCTGCTACGTTGGTCATTTTGAACCGCTTCAAAGTCAGTTCAAAATTTCAATTGTAAATTTTTAGACTGTTATTAACCATTTTTGCCTCAAAGTGTATATTTTACTCCTCTTACCTCAGTCTCAAATTGTACATATATTTATTCTACTCATTCTTACTCTTCCTATATTTATTGTTGTTCTTTTGCACTGTATAGAACTGGAGCCTCTTCGTCTCATCTCTCTATATACTGAACTGTATATAGCAGAGGTGACAATAAAGTTTACTTTGAGTGGAATTGAAAGGTCAAACTGCAAAAACAAATACCAGTTAATGCTATAGCTGTTAAGTGATTGCCAAACAAAAATAAATGTCAATTTAATATTTATCGTCAGAAACATCTAATTGTTTATCAAACAAAACAATTCCTCATTATCTGCTCCTTTCCTGGAATGACAGAGATCATGACCACTACTCATGCTAGTTCCTTCATCTGGGTAGGAATCTTCTCCAGGACCCAGGTCAGGTTCTTTTCAAATATTTATCTATTGGTATTACATGCTGCATCGTCTCACTGCATGACTATTATGTAATATCTCCTTCGTCTTCTTCTGTTTTACTGGCAGTTGGCAACCCATTTAATTAGAGCAGGTAGTTGTACTGTCTTCTAGTGGAAGAGAATGTAATTGTTCTGCCCGTTACTCATGCCAGTTGCTTAGAGTACGAATTAGGTGGAACCAGATTATCTTCCATGGCACACCTGACCATTTCTCACAGCACACCTGTGTGCCACAGCACAGTGGTTGAGAAACCGGGGTTCAGAGTATGTAGAGTATCAGACTTGGTGTTTAAGACAAATCAGGAGGATCTTATGAAATCAAATGTGTTTTATTACTGGAAATCGTAATCCCTTACTTCTATGGTTTTATTGATATATTGCAGTTTCTTGTTGTCACCTTAGACACATGATGTGTCTCCTCGTTCAGTTGGAGGAATGTAACTTTATTGTCTTTGTTTTTTTGTCTTGTGTAGTTCATCATGTTTGGAATTGTCAGCATTTTGTCTGACAAGTATCCAAGTCCATGTCTGGTGAGTAGTTCAGATGTACCTTAGAAGGACAACTTGAATTTCGTGTGTCTTCTTTTTCCTGTTTAAGTTGAAGATATGAAAGTAGAAGTATACTATTCTATTTCAATATACAAGTTTACACCAGGTCTCATGTATGCACATCTATGTATATGTATTTATGTAGGATGGAGCTGCAGAGCTTTAATACCAACCATTGCAAGCTTTCCTGCACTGACTGACTGTAAAACTTTTAACCGACCCTTCTAATGTCTAAAATTTGATTTTACATTAACTGACCCATCTTGTATTTCAGGTTATCGTCAATGTGATTCTGAATCTGACTGGCGTTGCTTTTGCCATTGCAGCTATTGTGCTGTATAGCATCAGTGTATCTAATCTATATTGGCCGGAAATGTGTTATGAATGCTACGGCGGCAAAACAGTAATTATGGTAAGTGCAGTTAAGGTTAGTTCAGGTTCAAATACCTAGCTGACAAGTGGAAAATATATGGTTTTAATTGTTTTGTAGATATAATCACAGGTTTCTGCTTCTGAAATCTGTGGATTTGCAGCTGGTAATCAGATAGGTTTTTGACTGTAGGAGGATGTTGCGATCACAGTCACGTCTGTACAGAAGTCTCCGCCCACTCTCCGGTCAAAGGGTCTGAGCCTCTGATCCTTTTATTACTGCAATAAAATTGAGCACTGTTGTTTGTATCCCAACAGATGCTCTACAGAAGCATCATTGCTGTGCTAATTGTGCTGTCAGTCCTGGAGCTCTGCGTCACCATCAGCTCAGTCGTCTTGGGGATCAAGAGTCTGAAGAGCAAAGAAAAGGGACAAACCAAGGTAACAGACTAGCATCGCAGAAAATGTTGGCTGTAAATGTGGAGGGTTTTTTTGTTTTTGTTTTGAGTTCTTGTGTGGAAGTTTATGAATATTTGGTGACTTGCTCAAAAGCCAAAAAGATTTAGTGTCATTTTACTTCACCAATCTTTTCTTTTTTAGAGCACTGATGACCCAGAGCTCTACAAACCACTTCTCGAGGAAGTTACCACTAAGCCTACAGTCTGAATGTAATTGTGCTGTGAGGAATTGTAAGCATGTGCCTTCATAGCTCTGACTCTGTACTACGACTATATTGGTCCATGTTACATAAAAATAACGGAATCTGTTGCACATTTCATCAGCATTTGACTACAGACGTGAGGGCTGTAGGTCTTTAGTCATTGAAGCTGAGGCACTAAGGCAACACTGTCTATATACTTTTGGCAGTGATGTTATTATTTTAGTTGTGACCATCATGGATGCAATGTGTTTTAGTGGCGAAAGCAATCACTTCTAACATTATAACTATGCTTAAAAAAGTGATCACATTTTTAAGCATAGTTATATTTAGAATAAACTTATTTAAAATTTTATAATGATATCTAATTTGAAGGAGGCTCCAGGGCAGACCCAGGACTCACTGGAGAGATTATATCTCTCTGCTGGCCTGGGTGTTCCCCCGGACAAGCTAGAGGGGGTGGCTGGAAAGAGGGAGGTCTGGCTTCTCTGCTTGGGCTGCTGCCCCCGTGACTCAGCCCCGGATAAGCGGAAGAAGATGGATGGATGGATGGATGGATGGATGGATGGAT